CATATTTAAAAGTCGATAACAAAGAAATACAAAGTGAAATGAATACTTACATATTAACTAACATGTTAAGGTACTTTTTTTGAAGTGTAATTTTTAAACGATTTCATAGCACAAACGTAATTTTTTCAAAATCAAACCTCCGACTCGTGACGTTTTAAGCGGAGAACGTTCCTTGGCGTGTAGCGCGGGGATCGAACGAAGTAGTCAATATTGACTACTTGTATTTGGCTTCAATTCACGGTGGCCTACTAGGAATCTGGACATTTTATATAATCTAATTGACTACTGTATAAAATGGAGCGCAGTCCAGTACACTGTCATTCCCATTTTTCAACACTGTTTTCAAATGAAAATATTTATCATGTAAGTACACGTTTTCTGTTCAACAAGAAAAAATATTATTTGAATGTTGTTGCTTTTACAATACAGATTAATAATAAGTAATAATAAGCATCATTTGTGTAAGCTGTTAAATCTCTTGACGCTGTTATGTTTTTTGATGATCAAAGTACTGAGACCACCTTATCTCGAAAGCGCCAGTGCTCACAGTATAAAAACGGGGTACTCCAGCAGTATACTGGCTGTCCATAACGGAACGATATTTCACCAGTGAGAGCACTGAGCAGTGCTCGCATTTTTTTAAACTGGCTTTACGGCTCTGGGTTCTAGCCCTTCTGAGCAGTGCTCGCAGGGTATATCGGAACCTTTGAGCATAGAAAATAGAGGAGGTTGCAAGCCTACAAAAAAATCGTGTCAAATTGAAACAACAAATGGCGGACGCTGTAAGCTCCGCCCATTTTTTAGTGATGTGAAGTCAATCAACTTTTAAAATTTAGTAACACCTATATGTATTTTTATTTATTTTTAAATATGCAAAATTATGTTTTCTCTAACGATTAGGGAGGCTAGGGGAATTTCGCGTGAATTTAACCGCCAGATGATTGCTGCTCCAGTTTTATCGTTTAAATAATAGTTTGAAGACAATTTTGATACTTAATGCACGGATAGCAACTCGTGCTTGTAAGTTGTAAATTAGCAAGCAATAGTTCGGCCGTTCAGAGAATGCGTTCCTGACACCTATCAGTTAGTCACGACTAGTGATGGGCACAACATAACACTGAGTTCGTTACCGTTCCTCCAAAATGAACCGCCGCGTTATTTTTAAGATTATTTTCGTTTTAAATTGGCGGAATCATTTAAAATTTATATTTTAGTAATTTAAGTGGAAAGCAAAAAAGGTATTATTAATATAATAAAATTGTTTTATTTATTCTTTGTTACAAAGTTACAATCTGTATTCCTATGCAATAAAGTACATTGAATTGAATGTGCGTACAGAATATTAATCAGACTCCGATTCGCTTGAGGAGGTGGTGTCTTCATCATCATCTTCGCCTACATGTATAATTATATTATTATCAATAACAGAATCAATCCTGATATCTCGGTCAAAATGTTCCACAATCAGGTTTTTAGTCTTCTCAACAACCTTTGCCCAGTCATCTCTTGTGACTTCCCCGCAGGCTTCTTTTAATAGGGTCATCATCTTTTTCGTGCTGAATGGCGGGGAAGTATTGTGGCGGGCGGCGTAAACTTTTATTTGAGCCCAGATTAGCTCAATCTCGTTATATTGGCAATGATACGGTGGAATTCTTAGAACGCGATGACCGTACTCCAGAGCCAGTTCATCGATTTCGTATCGCACATTTGCCGCTTTATTGTCTTTAACTAATTTAATTAGCTCTGGTTTTAGCATCTGCATATTTGCGTCAATACCTTTTGCTTGTAACCAAGCCACCATTTCTTCTTTTTTATTAGCTTGGGTAGGAGGTTTCTGTATTTGAACCGAGTGATAGGAGGCATTATCCATGAATGTTACAGAAGGCTCTGGTAGGCTGGGCAAAAGCACGTTCTGGAACTACTCTTTAAATGTAGTGGCATTCATTTCCTCGTGGTAGTCATTTGTGGTTTTTGATTGAAATGCCAGTAACGCGTTCTCCACAAAGCCGTATTTTGCAGAACCTGCGTGGCATATTATCAGACGGGCCCCCTTACCCATTGGTACTTTCAACGTCGACGCTTGTGTATCATCCGTCCAAGAACGGGAAACCGTGTGATTGGCGTTTAGCCATGTCTCGTCTATGAACACGACATTATCCCAGTTATCAATATTTTTTGCTTCTCTCAAAAAACTTATCCGTTTTAAAATTATGTCGTATCGTTCTAATAAAATTTTTCTTTTGTTTGTTTTTTTATACGAAAAACCAATATCTTTTAAGATTTTGGTTAAAGCAGTTTTACCCCCGCTAAACACTCCAGCTTCTCTTAACGATGCCAAAAGCTTCTTCCTGTTGAGATATTCATTTCTGGAATAGTAACCATATATATGATTTCTGATTACATCGGCGTCAAAGGTGTCAATATCTGTCACGGGTTTAGTTCTACGTTTCTTCTTCGGAGTACGTAAAATATTATTTCCGTGCCAGTAGAGCCGAACTTTTCTTTATTAATATTTGTTATCGTTCTTTTGCTAAGTCCAAGCGCCTGAGAGACGCGTTCTTGTACTTGTTCGACAGGTAACAGGGGTCCGCCATTTTGCCGCTCCCGCTCAAAATAATCTTGCAGCTTGATGATTAACTCACGGGCTCCACTTTTCAATTTTTGTCCACGTTTAGGCATTATTATGCACCAAAAGTAAAAAAAACGCAATACAAAACACAATCGAAATCCGATTTAGCGCCGATGTCAGTTTGAAAAGCAGAAACAGTCCATTAAACGAAAGCCGAGTAATCAAATAAAAACAGATCGAAAACACTTGAAGAACGTGGTCTATGCGCACGAAACGACAACAGACGACTGTTTTAGCGTCACAAAATGGCGGCCCATAACGCCATTTGGGGTTACCATTTTCAACCTAAATATAAAAATGCTACTTTTTTCACGCGTTCGGTTTGGTCGTAGTTTTATTTTTATATTTAATAAAAGTTATCTTATAGTCCATTATTTTCAAATTCTTAAAAAGAAAAACAAAACGTATTATTTTATAAAGTATAACTGTATAAGAACAGATTACAATACTGTTATTGCCTGTTATTGTTAGCACAGCACTACAAATATAAAGCGCTGACATAACCTTGTAATAGCGCAGTATAGATTTAGAAAAATATTGTTTACCAAGTTATTTGACACTCAGTTCGGCACAAAATTATAACATTCATTGATTATTGATATAATAATGTTGTTTTCATACTCATCAATTGTTAAAACGGTAACTGCAACGCCATTACAAAGTTACGTCGTCAGTTCAATCGCGACGTGTCAGGAACGCATTCTCTGAACGGCCGAACTATAGTTGCTCTGACTTCATATTATACAGAATAAGCTTTACTTCTGGGCTAATAAGTTACTATCGAAAGCCAGGTTGGTTAAACAGGATGGAGTTCTCTTTTTGAGCTAGTACCCCCCCCCCCACCATTTTTTTCTACTATTCTGGCATGCGCACCAGTTTCGTGTGGCCGATTAAGCTAATATCTTTTGAAGTAAAAACTACTTTAGAATCGCTGTGATTTGAATATTATTATACTTTACGATGCACTTGTGGTTACAAATTTTCATATCATATAAATTATTTGCCACCCCGGCTTAGCATGGGTGATTTCTGGATTTTGGCAACAAAATCAAGAAAGAGCAAGTGAACTAGACACAAAATAATAAAAATCTGCGGATGCTAAACCGCCTGCCGAGCGTGGTAGCTGTGGCAAAATTCCCTATAAGGCAATCAGAAAGCAGTTTAATAACGTAATATTTTTATAAAATATTTAAAAAAGAAAGTAGTTTAATAACGTAATATATATATATATATATATATATATATATATATATATATATATATATATATTCTTCTTTGGCAATCTAAAAATTATAGAACAGAAAATAATGATTTAGATCTATGAAGCTGCAAATAATATTACAAATTAAACAACACCATGGTTGTTATAAAAGGTGACTTAAGGTAAATTATTAATAAAAATATGCTTAAAATTTATGTATGTTGCATTATTAGAAGGCACGGATGGGCTAATGTATACAATATATAAAAAAGTCAAATAATAATGTCCATAGTCTCTGAGGTATTTGCATGTTTGCCTACACAGAGTGATTACTTACGGGCGCTAGATTGTACTTTATGTAATCTTTGTTACTTAGCTTCATTTTTATTATGTAGGTACCGTAGGTCCTATCTAACATGAATGTAACTCCGTTTCCGTATAATTTAGTTAATCATTTATGCTCACTGCTCAGACCCATGACACCGAAATAATGCAATGCATAACGCAAAACTTTTTCACATAATACGACAGAATAAATCAAGAAAAACCTTAATAAAGTATGTCCTTGAAAGAATTTATTGTTAGCAATGCAACATCACTATTTACGAACAACAAAATTTTATAGATGCGCCAAGGTTTAGGGTAAATAATTACATCATACACCTTCGTACTTTATAATGACTTTTAAAATTCACTATAAACTGTTTAAAAATTCGCAAAATTTTCAAATTAAGAAGAAATATCAAACGGCTTTTTATAACAGCAAATCTGAAACAATAAATGGCGGAATCGGCCGCAAGGCGGGGTTAAATGACGTCATCTTAAAAATGTTTACCAGAATACGAAACAATTTCTATTATCTGTTTCATTAATGAATGACACTTAGACTTGCACTTCGCTGAGTGAAAAAGAGATAGGCAGCATGTTGACAGTTCAATGTCGAATATAACCATATTTGTATAACCAATAAAACATATAGACGCTCTGGGCAGCTCCTCTATTTTCTATGCTCAAAGATCGGAACACAACACACCCTAAAATAATGACAGCCAGCTGACATGACATTTGACATTGACATTTGACACTGTCATTTGGTTTTTGTAGAACAGTTTTATTGATCATAGTTTAGTGTAGTTTTATTATTTTGAAAATATTTAACACAAAACTCACCTAATAATATGAGAACATTTCGTGGCTTGGTAGATAACACCGTTTCACTAATAAACAAACATACTAATACCACGTAAAAAGCGCCCGGCACTCTCGCCATGTTGAGCGATAACGGCGGCTGCGAACGAATTGACGTGTCGCACGGACGGCAAATTGTTCAGTTGGCAATTCGACGCCCGTTTCTGCGGTTATTGCCCTTCACCAGGGCTCCCGTTATCGAACGTCAGAATAATACCAAAGAAATATTATTGACAAAATAAGACGTCTCGTCAATTATGGGCAGCCGAAAAAATATTCTCTACTTGTTCGATGTGGATGGAACGTTGACGAAGCCGCGGCAGCGTATTTCAGAGGAACTAAAAACCTTTTTACTTAATGAAGTAAAAACCCGCGTAAAGGTGGGATTAGTTAGCGGCTCAGATTATAGCAAAATTGTGGAGCAAATGGATGGAGAAGAGATAACGAATCAATTTGACTATGTTTTTTGTGAAAACGGCGTTGTTCAATATCAACAAGGGCAACTGAAAAGTACCGAAAGTATCTTGAATTATATTGGTGAACAAACTCTTCAGAGGGTTATAAACTTTGCCCTTGGTTACATGTCTCAATTGGAACTGCCATCTAAGAGAGGGAACTTTGTGGAATTTCGATCAAGTATGCTGAACATATGCCCAGTTGGTCGATCCTGTAGCCAGTCTGAAAGAGAAGAATTTTCGAAATTTGACATGCAGCACGGGATCAGAGCAAAGTTTGTTGAAGCTCTTCAAAATGAATTTAAAGATTCTAAATTAACGTTTGCTTTGGGAGGGCAAATCAGTGTTGATGTGTTTCCAACTGGATGGGATAAAACATACTGCCTCACTCATGTAGCTGATGAAAAATTTACTGAAATTCACTTCTTTGGAGATAAAACCACAATAGGTGGCAATGACTATGAAATATATAATGATGACAGAACAATTGGTCACAAAGTTACATCACCTGAAGATACCAAAGAACAATTAAAAAAGTGGCTTAATATTGAATAAATAATTGTAAATAAAACATATTGTATATTTTATGATAATGAATTTTATTTATTATTAAAAAAAATGTAAATAATTTTATTATGCAAGTTTTCTTTTTGTCCTATATTAACTAGAAGTACCTATAAAAATATAGCTGCTTTACAAGCTTATTAATAAGAATTTAAAAATCATTTTGTAGATATGGTCTTACACAATTTATTGCAGCTTTTAGATAAGGCAATAATCTGCCTGAACTATTAACCCAACAATTAATTTATCAACAAAGAATAAGTAAATAATATTTTTTTTATATATAATAAATCAAAAAATATTTTTGTATACAGATAACAAAATACTTCATTTATGTACAAACATGGTCCACTGATTCGAAATATTGATAAAAATGCTAAGAACTTATCGCCTCCAGAGTATAAATGTTTACTTATGCCCACATGACAGAGTCAGTTGAATGCCAAGAGCTCACAAATAGGTCACTATCATGAACTTAATAATTACAAAAGTTATACAATTTCGTTCAAGTCAATGTACATGCATGTATGTAATAATTTTCACTCTAATTTCTTAACTAATATTTTTAAAGATAAATATAATCAGCTAAATTATAAATTTTGTTTATAGGTGATTAGTGGCCACTGTAGCCCGTGAGCACCTGCAACCAACATGATGTGAAATTATTGGAATAGATACACTATAATTAATAATTACATGATGATGCTGTTACATTCTATTTTACAGCAGACTGTAATTTGATCAATTTAGGCAACGGAGTCTCACTAAGCCAGTGTTGTATTAAGTTAAATAACAAAATAAATCAATAGTTGTTGATATGAAAGTAAGCCCTTTATTATACTTGCTTTTAAATGGGAACATCTTTGGGTGTACTATTTTGTTAGGCTGCAGAAAATAGTAAAATGGTGACAACATCTATTCAGAAACCTGGCAGTAAAAATGTTCCAAGTTATCTGATAGGAGACACCTGCTAGATATTTATTATTTCTGTAAGTAGCAAACTACAAAGTGACTTCAAAAAACTAATAATAATAAAATAATATCCACATAATTTAATATGTTTTGAAGTCAGGGCTTTATTTTTTGATACACTTTGTCTTCTTCTTCAATACATAATTGGCTACTCTAAAATAATTCTGCCAATGCCAATGTTAAGTGAGTCATTCGAGTGACAATAAATTATTTTGTACATTTACACTTTGTCTTGAACCAACTTTAGAAGCTACCAAATTATGTGGATTGTTTTATGGTTTGATTATAATGTAACCACGCATTTATAACAATATTTGTTTGTAGTTGACTGCAGGTATCCATAGGATGTAAGTAGTCACATACCATAAGGTGTACTGTTAGTGTTTATTTCAAGTATGTTACAAAAAAAACTGCTTCTAACCCTGTCATCTTTTTGGAACAATTTTGAGCTGGACATAGTTCTACTTTATATACATATAAATGTTGGTGCCTTTTTAACTCACAGCCTTTTATGACTGCAAACACATATATAAATAGGAAATTTTCCACTGTTTACATCAACAACACTTAAGCAGTAAGGTTAACTGCTAGACACAAAATATAAGCTTAATGAATACATTGAAATCCATTGTGATAAATGCATTATATTTTAAATTTTTTATAGTTTACTAAGATATGTTATACACAGATATAAATATATGGAAGATCAAATAGGCGGTGTATACATCAGAACTGCAGTGCAGTACTGGTTGTGTAATTCTGGTGGGTATCACTTCGCAACTACGTTATGTTTTTAATTAACTTCAAAGAAGGAGTATGTGGTAGATCCATACTGAAGCTATATTATGGTCGTTACATGAATAGGTCGGCACGACCAGGGAAGGACCACACTCTCATAAAATACCACATCATGAAATAGTAGCTCAATGCTGCTGTTTTGTGAGTGTAGTGTTTTATGATATAACTCATTACACATAAAAGGATAAATATATTAAACTTTTATTAAAAAGCAAAAACTGATTTCAAGAAACAAAAATAATAAAATAATGGTCCACATAATTGTTTCTGTAGCCGGCCTTTCATTCTATGATACAATAAAGTTTAATTTTTCAACATTTATATTTTAGGTTACAAAATATGTATTATTGCAATGAAAAAAACATAACAGAGTTGCAGAGTGATTCAAAATGCCAACAATACCCACTAAAGTGTATATTGTGAGGTACACAATAGCACTTAACCTTACATAATCTCCGTGAGATTATTATTCGGTATCATATGGTATATCATTAAATTAATGCCCTTTGTATTTAGGTTTTCTCTTCTCGATGAAGGAGATCATGCCTTCTTGTCTGTCCTTCGTCGGTACATTTATTTCATAGTATTTCTGCTCCACTTCGTAACCATCCTTGATGGTGAGTTGAACACCTTCATTTATAGCTTGCTTAGCACAGCGAAGAGCTATAGGCGCATTGGACAGTATCTCTCGGGCTAATTCGAGCGCTTTCTCAAACGCCGCGTTATGATTCTCGTTCTGCGCCACCGTATGGTTGACTATGCCTGTCAAGAAGGAAAGGTTATCGATTCATGATTTACGCAATAAACTTCATGATGAATATAAAACCTCTTTTTTATATTAAGAAGTAAGTGAGAAGTGGCAAAGAAACTTACAGACTTACAGTTCACCAGAAGTTAAGTGGCTACTGCACCAGCCACCAGCAGTCTACTTCCAACAAAGGCTTTAGATGCGTTGTCAGTTTTTTACGTGGTAGAGCCACGCTGCAGCTATATTATGGTTGTAGCACGACTGGGTCGGCTCGACCGGGGAAGGACCACGCTAAAATAACAGCTTACTGCTGTTGTCTTTTGAATGGTGAGTGTAGAGAACCGGAGACACTTTTTATTGGAAACGAGGCATTCCATCGTAATCCTCAGCGGCGGCAACGCATCTGCATTTTGATTCGTAATCGAGGATAGATGTAGATGTCTATGGGCCACAGCAACCACTTACCATCAAGTGGGCTGTGTGCTCGTTTGTCACATTATCCGAAAGTTAAGATGTTATGGCTCAAAGCCTGTAATGGATCTTTATTTCCTTCAGCCCGAAACAATGCAGTGTAAGCACTATTTGACGACAGAAACAGGCAAGACGGTGGGACCTACCCAAACTCTTAGGCACAAAAGAAATCCTATCACCAGTAAAAGCTTTATTAGGTAATATATGCGAGAATATGTTACCTGGGTGGATTGAAAAGTACTCGGCCTAACACAGATCCATTCAATTCTAAAAATCAAATCTACCCACATTATTTAGTTCAGTTCAGACTAGTTCATTGTGTGAAGTTCGAAACGTGTGCGATAATTAGTTGTGATTTTATAAATTTATTAACAAAGTAATCGGACATAATTTCCGCGAATGGAGCAAATCGAGCAGCGTGCCGTCATTAAGTACCTCCATAAGAAGGGGCTATCATCAAAAGCCATCCATGATGACATGGTCAGTACATTAGGCGATTGTGCTCTGTCATATTCATCCGTCAAAAAATGGATAGCAGAATTTAAGCGTGGTAGAGAGAGTGTGAAAGATGAACCCCGCTCTGGAAGGCCTTCGACGTCAACTACTGACGAAAATATTAAAAAAGTACTTGATTTAATAATGGGAGACCGCAGATTAAAAATTAGAGAGATAGCCGAGATTATAGGCATCTCTTATGAACGAACTCAAAACATCATTGTCAACGAGTTGGGTTTCCACAAGGTGTCTGCGAGGTGGGTTCCGCGACTGCTTTCAGTTGAACAAAAAAGGACGCGATTGACTATTTCACACGACTGTTTGGAGTTATTTGAAGCCGATGCAGATGATTTTTTGAATCGTTTTGTTACTATGGACGAAACATGGGTTCATTACTGTACACCGGAAACAAAACAACAATCAAAACAGTGGAGAAGACCTGGTTCACCACCCCCTAAAAAGGCTAAGTCGATTTTGTCGGCAAATAAGGTGATGGCTTCAGTATTCTGGGACTCGAAAGGTGTGATTATGATTGATTATCTTGAAAGGGGTCAGGTAATTGGCCGGCTAAAGATATGCGAACAGGTAACCAAAACAGCTCATCAGTTTCTGTTAGTGCGCGCCCCTTGGTTGTAAGATTAACGCGGCGTGCGTTGCGCGACCACTTAATAAAGAATGCTCGAGTGCGCCGTACGCTTACTACGGTAGACCTAGGATTGTTACCTCACGAATCAACTACGTTTTATGTTAATGAACGATTAACCAAAACAAACCGTATTTTATTTGCTAAAACACGTGAAATGGCTCGAAATTTAAATTGGAAATTTGTATGGACAAAGGGGGGTCGTGTTTATGTTAAGCGTGAAGACTCTCCTAATATTTATGCGCGCATAGTAAACTCTGAAATGGATATTGAACGTGTTTTTGGTGTACCCTGTTCAAAAACTTCTAAATAATGTTAAATGTATTTTGGGGCTCCTTACTATTTTAATTTTGTTCATTTTGTTTGATAATATTATACTTTTGATTATACCTTACACTTTCATATACCTTAAATGTTATTCCATACTTTTTAATTACTATGTTTTATACCACCTTTTATTATATCTTTATTTTGCAGTAGTTTACAGTAGCGGTAGTGTATTTGTAGTGGTACATAATTTAACTTTAAGTGCTAACAAAGGTTCTGTCCTGCAGTATCTATATTATTGCGTAAACATTTTTATGATTTTGGTAAATTCTATGGAATTGTTTACCGTAATTTTAGCTTACTTAATTAGTTCTACTTACTTTGTTTTGTTAGCTGGTACAAGTATAAAAATTTGTTGTTATTATTTTGAATATTTTTTAAATAATTATTTTTACCTTTTTTTATTACTATTTTTGTACGAATATTTTGTAAATTTCTTTGCTTTTTTTGTTGATATTTTGAAAATGACTTTATTTTTAATGTGCATACCGATGCTAGCCTGTTCAAGTTATAATATAATATGTTCCTATAAATATTCCTTACTTATTTGTGTTCAACATATAGACGATTATATATATGAAATGATTATACTTACAAAAATATTATTACAACATGGCTACTACTAAAAGTAAAAGTTTAAGAGTTGGCCTTTATAATGCTGGGTCGATCAGAAGCAAAAGCGATGAGTTTCAGGCAGCTCTGCTATGTGAATCTGCTGATATTATGGCGATAAACGAAACGTGGCTACGAGCTGGTGAAGATGCGAGTGCTCCGTTAGTTCCTGGCTATCGCTTCAGTCATATTCCCCGTTCTTGTAACCTATCTAGGGCACGTGGTGGTGGTGTTGGTTTTTACGTCAAACGAGGGATTAATGCTCGTTCTTATTCCCATAACATTATATTTGAGGAGGTGGAGCAGCAGTGGCTGTCGCTATCCATTAACAAAGTTAAGCTGTTAATTGGAACGGCATATCGACCACAATGGGTAAATGTCGAAAAGTTCTTTGATTCTCTTACAGACATTTTAACTTCATATTCAAATTTTGATAATATAATTTTGTTAGGAGATTTCAATATAAATATTTTGGATGAAAGTGACAACAAAACACAACAGCTTAATCAATTTTTGCAGTATACTAGGTTGAAAAACTGTATTTTTCAACCTACCCATTTTACGCAAGAGAGTGCTACATTAATTGATTTAGTAATGACGGACGCTAGTGTGACAAATACTCGTGTAAAATATACTCCTGAACTTGGTGGTCATGCTATCATTTTAGTCGATTTTAAAATTAAAAAGCCTAAGGTAGCTATAAGGCAGCAAATTATAAGACCTATAAAAAATATCAATCTGTCAGATTTTGAGTCGGAAGTTGAATCCATAAACTGGGATAGCATTACGAGGTATAATTATGTGAACGATATGGTTTCTGTTTTTTCCAAACGCATTTTAGAGCTGTTTGATAAACATGCTCCAGAGAAACTAATAACTATCCGTAAGAAACAACTGCCATGGTTTACGAGTAATGTTAAGTACATTATGCAGCTCCGAGATGACGCTCACAATAAATATCGTCGCACAAAAACTGAAAAAGATAAAATTCAATACAAAACCCTAAAAAGTCTAGTAAACAGCAGTCTTTATGCTGAGAAGAAGGCATATTTTGATTACCACATTAATCAACATCTACATAATACAAATGTTCTATGGAAAAATGTGAAGTCATTCGCGTTACCGTCATTTAAAAATTCGAATGACTTACCAGAACACTTTAGTGATCCTGACGAAATTAATCGTCACTTTTTGAGTATACCGGGAACAAATAATATCGTCAAATCATTTAATGTAAGGAATCTGGAAAGCAGAAACTGTATCTCTAATACTTTTAGGTTAATACCAGTTCATGAAAATGTGGTTGCAAAAATCATAATGGGTATTAAGTCAAATGCTCAAGGTGTTGACCGCATTAATATGGATATGATAATTCTAACGCTTCCGAGAACTTTAAATGTTATCACTGCAATTATTAATAAATCCATAACAGAATCTGTTTTTCCTTCTTCTTGGAAAACTGCACTTATTTGTCCAATACCTAAAAAAAGTAACCCAACAAATGTAGGTGACCTAAGACCCATTAGTATACTGCCTTACTTATCAAAAATACTTGAGAAAGTTGTTTACTCACAATTAATAAATTTCTGTGAAAAAAATCAATTAATACCCAACCTACAATCAGGTTTTAGAAAAAATTACGGAACAGCAACAGCTCTTATTAATGTCGTGGATGATATATTATCTTTTTCGGATTCTGGAGAAGGTACTATTCTCACTTTATTAGATTTTTCAAGGGCCTTTGACTCAATTAACACAAACTTACTGATTTCTAAGCTTTCATATTATGGTTTTGATAATGAAACACTCAAGTGGTTTAAAAGTTATTTAACTGACCGATATCAACAAGTAATTTTAGACAGGCATAATGGTAAAAACTTTATTTCTAAGCTTCTTCCTGTTGATAGAGGCGTTCCTCAAGGATCTGTGTTAGGGCCTTTGCTTTTTATTATTTACAGTGCTGATATAATAAACTGTCTCAAAAACTGTAAATACCATCTATACGCTGATGATTTACAGGTATATATTCCCATAGATCGAAAAAATATTAACACATTAGTAAATAAGTTAAATCAGGATATTCAACGTGTTTGCGATTGGTCACAAAATAACTCCATGGTTCTCAATCCTTCAAAGTCAAAATTCCTTATAATTGGCACTAAAAAGCAGGTACATGATATAGCTATAACTGAACCTGATATACGTGTTAATGGAGAGACAATTGCACAAGTTCATGAAGCACGAAATTTAGGCATTCTTTTTGATAGCAATTTGAGGTTTGAAAATCATGTGATTAATTTGGTACAAAACTGCTTTTACAGGTTAAAAGTTTTATATAGATTTAGACCATTTATCACAGTTAATTTACGTGTAAAGCTTTGTGAAACCCTAGTTTTAGCTAAATTAAATTATTGTATAACTGTTTATGGACCTTGTTTGCTTAAAAAATCACAAAAATTAATCCAGAGGGTACAGAATGCTTGTGCTCGCTATTGTTTTTACATACCGAGACGAACTCATGTTACATCATATCTTAATACCTCGAATATGTTAAAAATGCAGGGGCGTCTCAAACTTTTTTATGCTTCTTTGCTATTCGGCATAATAAATACAAAGAATCCAGAATATTTATACAAAAAACTTAATTGGAGAAATGACCAACATGTATATAAAACCCGAATATGCTCAAAAGTTTTTTGCATCCCTAAACACAAAACATCGGCTTTCCGAGGGAGTTTTAAGTTTATGGCAACTAAGTGTTGGAATGATCTCCCACCACCACTACGCACTACGACAAGTAAATCGAGTTTTAAAAAGAAATATAGACGTCATTTACTAAGAGAACAAATACTGTCATAAGCAGCTTATTTTTACCTAATTGCAGGACCGCCCTGTAAATACTTAAAACAAATAATAAACATTGCTATGTAGTAGGTGGGGAAACAACTTATATGAGATTAAAGAAGTTAGGCTTGTTAATATCAATATTATTTTATAATTTATGTTACTTATTACTAGTTATATTGTTGTAATAATTATTTATTAAAAAAAATGGTAATAAAAATATATATATTTGATTATTAATTTGAACTGGCTAATAGTCGGGGATCCACGGTATGTATCCTAATGTGAATAGTTGTGATTAAAGGGATGCGCGCGTACTGTACTGTTCATATGTTGGGCGCTGGCAGAATAACAGCGTTGTAGGCAACTGCAACATTTATGCTGAGCTAGAGCCCATTCATTACTACATTATGTAATTCTTGTTATTTCTGTATGTACTTTATTGGTGGTAATGAATAAATGCTTATTATTATTATTATTATTATTATTAATATAAACTCTGATTACTACTGCACCTTACTACGTCGTTTACGAGAGGAAATAAAAGAAAAACGTCGAGGAATGCTCAGGAGAAAAGTCCTGTTTCATCAAGATAACGCCCGTGTTCACACGTCAGTACAGTCAATGGCTGAAATTCACAACTGTGGCTTTGAACTGTTACCGCATCCGCCGTATTCACCTGATCTGGCACCATCAGACTTCTTTCTGTTCCCTAACCTAAAAAAGCACTTGGGAGGTCAAAGATTTTCGACAAACGACGAGGTCAAAGCAGCTGTAGACGCATATTTTGACTCTAAGGAAGAATCATTTTTTTTCAACGGTCTAAATGCTTGGAAGGTGGCAAAAGTGTATTGAACTTGATGGTGATTATGTAGAAAAATAAAAATATAACTGATTTAGTATGTGTTTATTTTCTTGGTTAGGCCGAGTACTTTTCAATCCACCCTCTATGAAATGCGATAGACGGCGGTATAACCGTCTCGTTTATGTCACATGTATATTAACCCGATACATTTACACAAAGTATTAAAATCAAAGGTTAAACGGCCTAACGATGCCGACCACGATTTCCATCAGAGTTAACCAATTTGAGAGCCAAGTATCCTGTGGCTGTACAAAACTGTAATTCGGCCCATGATCACATACGGCGGTCTGGTATGGTGGACCAAAACAAATTAAGCCACCGCTATATAAAGAAGCGTCAGTGTTACCAGAGACTGGTATTTGTGGCTACCACAGGCTACATAAGGACTACACCAACAGCAGCCTTAGAGGCGATGCTGGAGCTAACCCCGCTACATCTACACATACAACAAAAAGCGACTTTAGCTGCAATCAAATGAAACCAGCCAGCCGGAGGGACTAAGCCCAAAAGAGTTAGAGTTTTCACTGATGGTTCCAAAACAAATAAAGGTGTAGGATCTGGAACATTCTCTGAAGACCTTAATATCCACATATGCACACCGCTGGGTACCCACAAAACAGTCTTTCAGGTGGAATGTATGTGTATCATTCAAGCGGCCATAGCAATAGTTGCTAGGAAGGTAAAAGACTTCTCCATCAGAATACTGACCGACAGTATGGCACTACTACAGGCTCTGAGTTGCAATGTGCTGAACTCAGGACTAATATATGAATTTAAGGTTGAATTTACATTAATGTACATTTATTTCAACTAGAATTACGTCAAAACAATTGGCGACAGTTTTTAGAGAACTTTTGCATGGGATTGTTAATCTAGTGTTTTATTAGTGATTGATGCTGGCAACTACAAATTAAAATATTTTATTTAAGACTAGCGACCCGCCTCGGTTTCGCCTAGATACGATCTATTAATGTGAGGTTATTTAGATATAATATAATCAAATACCAATGATCTTATCAGTGTTTCGTTTTTTCTTTAAATGTTCATTCTTGTTTGGGATAAAATATATCTTAAAGTTAAACCCCTCCTGGAATTGCTCTCTATCTATTTTTAAAGTTTTATCAGTCGGTTCAGTCATTCCAAAGATTAGCCAGGATAGACAGACCGACAAAAAAATTATTTAATTAATAATTATATACTTGAATTTTATTTATGTGTATAGAATTGACACAGTTTCCCCAATAAAGCTTATTGTATAATATTTATTAGGCTCAATAAATTGTATTCACCTTGAAGCCTTACTTCATTGTAAACAAGTAATTTATCTAACTAGTAATAAATGATATCAGCTTAAATAATACTATTATGCCAAAATACTTGCAGATATACAAGTTTATTTATGATAGTAATTACTCATTCAAAGTGAAGGTAGAGTCGTGGTAATTCAGGAGTTAAATTCCACGGGACTTCTTTATTGAAACGGACTCTAGCCAACTCTAGCCTTTAAACCTGAAACTAACCTTTAATTACTTTTTGCAATAAGACAACATAATAAGGCTAAGGTCATGTTTTTAAATAATAATTTAAAAACATGAACATAAACATTTTGTACAACCGAGTTTAATATGAATTATTAAGAATAACTCAAAAACTGTTGGTCAGATCTTCATCAAATTTATATGGGACTACATGAGAAGCCTGGTGCTTCTCATGTAGTCCCATATAAATTTTCTTTCAAATAAAAAAAGAATCATCGAAATCGGTTCATCCAGAAAAAAGTTATAAGGTAACACACATAAAAAATACCTACAGTTGAATTGAGTACATCTTCTTTTTGAAGTCGGTAGAAAAATACAGGATATTACTAACCTAATTCCTTTGCTTCTTTTCCATTAACAATTCTTGAAGTGAATATCAGTTCCTTGGCTATGCTGGGGTGGATCACACGTGGGAGACGCTGAGTGCCACCTGCACCAGGTATGAGGCCCCTGCCGGTCTCTACTAAACCCAACCTAGAGGTGTCTGCCGCCACTCTTATGTCACATGCTAGGGCCAGTTCTAAGCCGCCACCTACAGCTACACCATCAATGGCAGCTATGGTGGGCATAGGAAGATCTTCTATTTCTATGAATGTTTCCCTGAGTCCTTTCACAAAGCTTATAGCTTCGTCATCTGACATTTTAAATCTTTCTTTCAAGTTTGCACCTGAAACAAAAGTTGAGTAAAATTAAAGTTACAACCTTTATATGTCCCACATCTGGGCACATGCCTGCTCTCATTTCTGGGAGGGCTATGGAGCAATTACTCAGTCACGCTGCACTAGTGTGTGTTGGCCGAATTTTGCATGTTTGTTGAAATGTTCTATTTCTTAGATGTGCACATGGTAATTCAGCTTAATACTGCCTTGTTTTGTATGACGAGTGTAGAGAAGAGATTCTTTATACCAGTAACAAGGATTCTATCTTAGTCTTCAGGGGTGACAATGCATCCTCAGTTAAGAATCAAAATGCAGGTCTGATAACTAAGACCTAACTAAACTTGATAACTAAGATATAATACCTCATTACAAATAAAAAGGGGCTCCGGTGATCTACATTCTTAGATTAGATAAGTAAGTTTAAGCTTATTAAAAGCTCTGGTTTCAAATATGATGCTTTAGAATGGCAATAAAAATATACAAATAAATAATAAATAATCTCATATATTTCATATGATAATAATAAAGAAAATTAAATTGTTTACTTTTACTCGGCAAATATTTGGTTACATTGATTCCCAATAATTTGAAGGTGCTTAGAGACATATCATCAAAACCTTTATTTAGGATCATGCTCAAGTATATAAGCATTTATACAATACAGTGTGTTAAAACAACTTAGAAATTAATTTTTCCTAGGCTAACTAGTTTTTTACTAGGGTTTTCTAAGCCCGGCAGGATGAACCATACGTTCGAGGCCATACCAACATACCAGCTACACCTCAATGTACTTTCGATCATAATTAGTTTTCATCAAGAAATAATTATTTAAACTATAATTTATGTATTTTCTTCTATATATAAACACTTCAGTCATGTAGCCAGCCATTCAGGCACCAAGTCGAATGCCTTTTGTAGTCAATCCAGGTGGCGCAGCGGTTCTTATGGCTGCGTTTAACCACCTTCCCAATGACCATGTCAATGAGGAGTGGTTCCTTGGTTCCACAACCCCCGCCATCCATTTTGAGCGCGCGAACCTGATTTGAGTTCAGGTGAGGAGTGATTCTCGCGCTCAAAATGGACGTTAGTGTCTTGTATATGGTAGATAGACACGTTATGGGGTGGTATTTGCTTGGGTGGATGTCGATTCTTTCCGAAAAAGATCGATTTTTAAACCGATTCGAATCGTAAGCTCATGTATCGATTCACAAAAAAATCTATTTCTAAAATATCGATATTTTTTCATGTTTGCATTTATAATATAAATATAAATCAATTTTATGAAAAATCAGAAAGATGCCATAGTAAATAATCTCTTATTGAAATTTGTTTTATTTTATTTATTTTTATTAGGGATGATAACAAATAAAATAGGTTAGGTTCAATTTATGTCAAAGAATCGAATTGATTGACCCCGACTCCACCTGGTACAAATCTGTCCTACTCCTAGAGTGGTTATATATAGCCGGAGGCGCGTAGGGGGAGCAGCCTCCGCCTGCTGTAACAAATCGTAGGCATCGGAAGACCCGGAGCGGCTGAGGCTGGTCGCCGAAAGCGATCAACAAGCCGAAGCTGCGGAGGCGAGGAGGGATGCCTGCGATTTGTTACGCAAAGGCGTAGAGGCTGCTCTGGCCGCAGCGCCGGAGACGTTGCAGTCTCAAAATAGATACAGAAACCCCTTTTAATCAGTCCCCCTATTTTATGTCTGATGAAGGGGATTTTGTTCTCATAAAATGGATTTATATTCCCATTATAAATGCAAACATGAAAAAATATCGTAATTTTAGAAATCGATTTTTTTGTGAATTGATACATCAGCTTATGATTCAAATCGATTTATAAAATCGATCTTTTTGGGAAAGAATTGACATCTCTACTGACGATGACAATAACAATAGAAAATAGCGTCAGTTTTACCATAGTAATTGACATAAATTTGCAAAAATAATTGATTTTCAATAATTTTTTTCTCAAAAAGTACAGGTTTCCGCATATTGAAACTGCAAAACGCTTTCTTTTAATGAGTACTATCTACAAAAAAAAAATATGGGCATTTAAATCGATGGTCCATATTGGAAATTTTAACCAGTTAATCTAAAGGTTGGCCAAGCTAAGATGCAATGGCGTTTTAGAAACATATTAAACATACCTGCACAGAATATTCCTCGCACCAGGCTATGTAAAATGACGACAGATATTTTTGTGTCTTCTCGAATTAGTGCATTTACTTCTTTCATTGATTTTACGACATCAAAACCTAGAGCATTTTTGTCCTTTGGACTGTTGAGACCGTATACTGCAATACCCTTGTCAACTCCTGTCAACTTGTGGAAAACTACAGGACCTATATTTTCGGTTTGCTGTCGAATTTGTGTTGACAGTAATCTCAAATATTGGGCTTTGTTCAACAAATGGGTTAAACCTAATTTTGATATAATCATTATGATTATATTATTAAACACACAGTTACTGCAGTACTAGTTTCTCGTTAGACTTTAGAGTATTCCTAGGACAGTTACTATACTCTTTGAGTATTCCCTTATGAACGGTTACTATACACTTTGGTTATGTGGTTCGTAATTAGTTAATCACTTCGAATACAGTAGTGTAGATCCTTTCTATTCAAGAAACAATACTTGTTTGATTTAAAAATATCTTATCTCTAGTGATAACGATTGTTCAATAAATTTTAGTTTATATATATTGTTTATATTTACTCGGCAGCAACGCAACGGAAATATTTCCTATGCTCAAAGGCTCAAAGCAAGCAAAGAGCAACGGAATGACAATGACGTAAAGTATATCTGTCACTGTCAATATTTTTGTTTATACCTGGTTTTACGGCTCTAGGTACTAGTCTTTCTGGGCCTGATCCTTCATAGTACACTGCTTCACAATAGGTTGATGCGTCACATTGTGCAGCCCTTGGGAGATTTTGACGGCAACTTGAGCCAGCAGACAGCTGACAGTTGGCGATGGTATCTCAAGGCGCCTAAGCAGACAGACACCTTATCTTGAGAATCACATCACCGTCAGAGCACTTGTTACACCGTTTCCACTAATATGCGCAAACTCCATATTTTTGTAACAAGCATTTTACTCCCTGAAATATTTTTAATTCCTTCCCTTGTTGCCATTAAAAAGTACCACAGTATGCAGATATGCAAAATTATATGCATGTGGTTCTCTGCTTTAAAATTAAAAAATAAAGAAATGAAAACTATTCGCGTACAAAGAAAAAACATTACGGCATAGCTTTTCGGGAAATAAGGGAAAACCTATTTTAGAGCCTGATGATATTTTTAAGGCAGCAGAAATCAAAGTTTCTGTGTATATTTATAACGTGGAAAAGGGAGTGTCCATGTGTGAAATCACTGGCTATATTAAGAAAATAAGTAACATAAAAGAAAATACAGGGAAAATAAATATAAAAACGACAAAAGACTAAGAATCCTATAAGATATAGGGACTTCAGTTTACTGATCCGTTTCGCTACGTAATAGATGTAAATCATTTATTACAATTGACATTAAAGATAATCATGAGTGCGCGAACAACATAAACATGAAACATATTTGAGCAAGAAGTTTCGTACGATGATAATGATGATGAATTAAAATCACTCGGTGCACGACTTATTATAAAATACATGTTTTATCCTCGTTGTCGTGATATAGTGATCAAAATCCATTCAGGTGTGTTTGCGTGATTGTTAAATCACATAAGCATCACCATATTGTGAAGGACTTAGTGAATAAAATAATACCTGACTAGGCTGTATGATCTAAGACTATTGTCTATTTGAAATTGATAACAACAACAACTCAATTTTTTTTTTCAAGGTTGGTAAACTAGCTTGCTACATATTTATTTATCTATGGTAAAAAACAGTCAATCTTGAACTAGGAGTAAAGTATTCTGTGATCTTGAATCTTGTTCCTGTGCTCGAGCTTGAATCTTATAGGAGTTTTGGCGGGAACTTGACCGGCGGCGGTTTGCTGCTCCTGTATTTTGTTTAAATAATGGTTTGAAGTGGACTTTGATATGTAAAAGTGGTGCGATTTTGTGTATTAAGTGCGCGTGTGAACTGCGCATGTGAACTATTAGCGGAAACTGTGAAACAAGTGCTCTGATGGTGATGTGATTCACAAAATAAGGTGTCTGTCTGCTTAGGGGCCTTGAGATACCAACGCCAACCGTCAGCTGTCTGCTGGCTCAAGTTGCCATCAAAATCTCCCAAGAGCTACACAATGTGACGCATCAACATATTGTAACTTCAGGCTCAGAAGGGCTAGATCCCAGAGCTGTAAAGCCAGTTATTAAGAAGAAGAATTGAATCTTGTAATTTTTTATTTTTTGAAATTATACAAGAACGGTGTTTCTATATAGTTTGTGAGAACGGCGAACACATCAATTCGAGGTAGTCTATAAACTAGTATAATATTCTATTTCGTACGTGAATTGTTTCATCATGACTTATGAACCATACATTTGTAATTTAGATCCAGAAAGTAATAAAATTCTGAAACTGTATCTGTTTAAAAATGTTCAAAATGTGGAAGAAATACGTAACAATGTAACAAACGGTAAATGGAAGTGCGCTGTGATTAAGCCAAGTTTGATATTAGATACTTTTCAAGTTGCTGTTGCAGCAAACAGAGCAGTATTAGCAGAAAAATCACAAAGTATGGTTACTCGGACTGTCTTCTCAGAGATTTTGTACAATCTGTCATTATCAAAGAACATTACTCAGAGCTTGAGTAAATTCGGTATTGAAAAGGATCAAAACTTGCTAGTTTGTTTCTTAGATACCGCTGATAGCAATGAAAGTGAGATCATTGTTAAGAAAATTGATGGTGAAATGTGTTCAGTTAGTGAATTAGAAAAGTTTACAAATATTAAAGACTTGAAAAGTGTTTATAAATTAAACAATGTGAAATTTGATGTGGATTTACTTGATATTATTGTGAGTAGAATGGTCACGAAGAATTTTGTTGGATATTAAACCACTGAAGAACATTTCATTGTTTTAATGAAAATCCAAAAGTTTGAAAATGAAGAGATTGTCAATTTTGGTTAAGATGTTCCATATACACTTAAGGCTACTCACACAAATAATTAGAGAATATTCAGAGAATCATACATTTAGAGCAGTTATTTTAATATGAATTTTTTTATAAATAGACTATAGTAAACTGGAGCAATGAAAAACTAACAATGAAGTAACAATTTTGTAATAATAAACCAAACATCATGGAAATGAAATCACATAATTTCAAATATTGTACATCTGACTTCAATATAAATTATTAAGAATAACTCAAAAACTATTGGTCAGACCTTGATCCAATTTATACGGGACCACATGAGAAGCATCAGCTTTCAAATGAAAAAAGAATCGTCAAAATCAGTTCATCCAGAAAAAAGTTGTTAGGTAACACTTAAAAAATAAAAATAATAAAAAACATAAAAAAGCAGTCAAATTGAGTACCTCCTGCTTTTTGAAGTTGTTAGAAAATAGCTCCGATGCACTTGTACCAGCACTGATTGCTTTTCAGTATTATGAACTACCTATTGTCAGCTGCTTCTGACGTCATTGCATGCAAAAGACTTCAACAACCCATACTTCATTGCTAGCAAACAAAACTAAAAACATTTATTGATGAAGTATAATAATAATACTAATGCAACACCTCGCATCCGTCATACCTATCAGCTGGCTTAGTATCGGCAGGGTCTTCGCGGGCCCAGCAATCGGCACCCACCACTGGTGGAGTACGCCGCATGAGATGGACAATGCAGATGAATGGTAGAGATTGGAACGAATACTGAATACTAACTATGAAACGAATATTCATTTCATAGTCAGTATTCGGTATATTCCACAGCTTTACCAAATATTTGGCTAAATCACCAAACATTCATGAAAGTGATACTCAAAGTCTTCACTGTATTGAAAGGTACGAATGGAATAATGCCATGTCTTTCATAATTTTACTGTTGAAAGTATATTTTATTTATGGGTTGAATCTACTTGTGTAGCGTTATGTTTTTGAGGAACTGTAGATTTATTTACAATTATAGCAAATGGAAAGCTTGATAAAATGTTTTTGGAATGAAACGAAGAAAATTTGTAATCACGTTTTTATTGTAAGGAATACCTAATTCAAATTCCTAGGTTTTAAATTTAATCAACATCATTTATATTTTGAAAGAATAGCATCTATATTATTATTTGAAAATTAACACAGAAATAATTTTAAAATTAAAAGTAATTTAAATTTTAGGTACTAATTGTCATTTGAGCAATAATATAATATTAATCAAAGTCACATAGTTCCAAAGGTAATTGGAAGAGTGATTTTTGAAAAAATATAACATATTTTTCTTATTCTACATGAGACCAAATTAAATATTCTTAAGGAACTTTTAGGAACTCTATAGGAACAAGTGTTAAGAGCTAAACAGTTTAAGAAATGTTAACTAATGTTAGGTATGTAATGCAGTCATAATAAGCTTACCTAAAGAAATCACTTAAGTGGAGTTTATTGAAAACAAAAAGCAAGTAAATGAGTAGATTACCAATATCAGTTATTCAGTATTTAAAATTTTCATGAGGCAAATTATGGTGCAGAAAGATTAACTGCTCAGCTTTATTTAGTAACAGTTTATTATGCTTTTACTCATAGACGTTGCCCGCTTCAGAAAATAAACGTTTTATAAACTGAGGAAGGTTTATAAAACATTTTATAAACTGAGGAAATCCAGGAAGCTTGGATTATAAACGAAGCATAAGCTGCTTGCTGTGATTGCAAGTCTATTGACGTTGGCGGAGCCGGCTGCTCTAACTCGGTGTCACTACTACTACTATGAATATCTACATCTAAACATCTTAAGTGTTCTCAAAGAAACTCCCGTCTGACGGTTGGAGTAATTTCGGGAGTGAATAAATTCATCTTGTACCTTGGGTCAAGCAGTGTGGCAATAGTGTAGTACTTTACATCTTCGAATTTGCTGGCTCGTCTTTCTAAACCATCTTTAAGTGCCATTGGTACTGTATCTAAATTGCTGCACATTCTCTAAACTTTGTCTTTGATCAAAAACTTCAGTAAGTTTTTGTGTGTGGGATCACCTCTGAAAGACAGGAGTATGTGGAGCTTTTCTTGTTATCTCTTCAAAAGACTGTAATAGTGTCACACACTGTTGCAATAACATCCACTGTCTTTCTGATAGATTCTGAATACTAATCGAGCTACTGTTGTCCGAAATGTAAATGCATAGCTCGCTTTTGTTCTTCAAGATGTTTGCACAAATAATATTTACTATTCCATCTTGTCACTACATCTCGCACAAGCTTGTGTTTAGGCAAATTTAGCTCTTCTTGAATTTAGTTGAATTTTTCTTGTGCTTGAGATGAGTGGTTAAAGTGAATGACAATTTTTCGGCCTTGGGCAATGGTTTCTTTAACATCTGGTTGGACTTGTAATGCGACTAAAATTACATGCTGTAATATATGTAGAAAACACTTCTGAATGGTAAAGGAGCTGTCTCTAACGGCTTTCACGATATTACTTCCGCTGTCAGTCATTATAATATGAATTTTTGCCATTATTTGCCAAACTTTGGCTATATTCTCAAATTGTGCGCGTATGTTATCGGCGTTGTGTTGGCCTGTAAACGACTTCATTTGAAGCACTGTGTTGTACAGCGAAGTCATCAATTGGTCCATTGTGGAATACATTCCACAATGGACCAATGAATGGATTTATATGTGGTAGAGTCATGCTGCAGCTATATCTATACAAATAAATAAAATTGAAGTGTCTGTTTGTAATGTCAAATAACAGCTTTTTACTAAATGCATATGAAAGTATATATATATATATATATATAATTTTTTTTTTTTTTATAGGATAGGGTGACAAACGAGCACACAGTCCACCTGATGGTAAGTGGTTGCTGTGGCCCATAGACATCTACATCTATCCTCGCTTGCAAATCAAAATGCAGATGCGTTGTCACCCGTGAGGACTAAGATGGAATGCCTCTTTTCCAGTACGGCTTTTTGCAAAGGCATTAGATGAATTAAAAAATGTTAATCTATGTCTCACTGCTGGGCATAGGTGTCTTATTTTTAACCGACTTCAAAAAGGAGGAGGTACTCAATTCGACTGTTTTTTTAACGTGTTACCTCCATAACTTCTTTCTAGGTTTTTTTTTATAGTAGAGGGGGCAAACGAGAATACGGGTCACCTGATGGTGACTACTGCCGCCCATGAACAACTGCAATACCAGGGAACCAGGGGAATTGTAGATGCGTTGCCGGCCTTTTAAAAAGGAGTAGGCTCTTTTCTTGAAGGTCCCTAAGTCGTATCGGTCCGGAAAAATCGCTGATGGTAATCGATTCCACAAGGAAGTCGTGCGAGGAAGAAAACATCTTCTAAATCGCACAGTGGTGGACCGCCAATTATCCAGATGGTGTGGATGGTATCGGGAGTTCTTCCGCGATGTGCGTTCGTGAAATTTGGCGGCTGGGATTAATCCGAATAATTCCTCAGAGCACTTCCCGTGGTAAATGCGAAAGAAAATGCAAAGGGATGCAACATCTCTTCTCAGTGCCAATCAATCGAGCTGATCGGAAAGGACTCGGTTGTCGACGATTCGAGCCGCTCTGCGCTGTATGCAGTCAAGTGGAAGGAGCTGACACTGGGGAGCCTCTGCCCAGATGGGAACAGTATGCCATGTGAGGCCGAACCTGCGCCTTGTAAAGTTGCAGGCGGTGTGCCCGCATGAAATACTGTCCCGCTCTGATTTTGATGTTTCTTTTTTTATATAAAAGCTAGTGCTTCTCATGTGGTCCCATATAAGTATAATTGATCAAGGTTTGACCAGTAGTTTTTAAGCTATCCTTAATAATTAAAATTGAAGAGAGGCAATTAGTCCGTAGCTCTGCTTCAGTGCATATTGAAGGACTTCTCAGAATATTTTATTCCTCTGACATGTAGGTATCCTCGAGATTTTTACCTTCACTGCTGTGCACTAGGTACAAAATAGAAAATAACAATTTTATAGGTGCTGGTGGGGATGAAAGTGGGTTACTCATGTACTTTGAAATTTACGGCGAGTGTTTAGATCCTGAGTTAACGCAGCTATATTATAGTTATCATCAATGCAATTGTTATAAGTTATAACCAACACTGTGCATCAAAGTATCATGGTAGGTACGAGGGCGGCACTGAAAATTTCGGGAATCAAAGAAATGACACAACATTACTATTTAAAAATGTATTTATTGCTTTTCGAAGTATTCTCCGCGAAATTTGACACATTTTTCCATACGATGGAACCAATCATTGAAGCAACCATTCCATTCGAAAGTTGCGGTCTCCAAAATGGCCGTTTTGTAGGCGTCCACAGCTCCTTCAGGTGATGAAAATCTCTGTCCACGCAATTTATTCTTTATTTTAGGGAAAGTATAGAAATCATTAGGGCTTAGGTCGGGGCTGTACGGCGGATGATCTAATAATTATATGTTTTCTTGCTCTAAAAACTCTTTTGTTCTGTGTGCGGTGTGAGAACTCGCATTGTCGTGATGGAGGATGATGCGGCGGTTGCAGTTCTCTTTACCGAGTTCAGAAACGACTTGTGGCAAAGAAATGCTAGCATACCATTCTGCATTAACCGTTCTTTGTCCCTCAAGAGGAATAGTCGTAATATGGCCGGTTTTGGAGACAAACGTGGCCACCATTTTTTTTTGCAACACTCCGTGAACGAACAATTTTTGTTGGCTTTAACTCATTTTCGAACACCCAAACTCGTGACTGGTTTTTTGTTTCGGGTTCGTACACGTATATCCAGGATTCGTTACCTGATACGATGTTGTATACAGCATTTGAGGATCCTGCGTGGAATCTTTCGAGAGTTCTGACGCACCAAGTAACGCGAGCCGCTTTTTGCGAATGCGGTATCCATCGGGAAAACAACTTTTTTACACCTAATTGTTCA